CTCAGCAGCACATCTCCAGTGTTTGACCAGGAGCCCCGGTGTGCCCATCTGAAAGACGCACAGACAGGTCCCCTGACTGGAGAAAAAACTGGTTTCGTTCCCGTTTCTTAAAAATGGTGTTGTAGATGACAATCGTCAGAACCCGTACTTGCTCATTAGGAAGAATACAGAGCAAACATGCATGGCAGAGAACATCCTGTCCGTTCTCTCGTCACCCACAGAGCTTTTGGGTGTCTCCCCCCCCCCCCAGTGAATCAGAGTGATTTTTTTGAAGTTGCTTTATCAGGTGTAAGGCAGAGACACGCACGGCCCAAGAGGTCAGCTCACGCCTGCTGAGCAGCCCATGTCTGGGCAGAAAATAGAGCAAAGCCGTCACCCGGAAGCCCCCACGTCCCTCCCACCTGCCTCCTGTGTCCACAGATAACCATCCTTGCTGCAAAATGGATTCATTGTGCTATTTCTGAGCTTCTCTAATGCACAGCGTGCATTCTGGACCACACAGTCGGGCCATTGAGATCTGTTGTGGGACTGGCCAGGCACGGCTTGTCCAGATGGTAACCCTGGACAAGAGCACTGTTCACCCACCTTCCTGTTGGAGGGTGTGCGGTTCGTTCTGTTTACTTGCTGTCACGAATGGCACTGCCGTGAGCACATCCTGCCTGTGACACTCGAAGCCTACGGCCACCATTCTGTGGCATCCCTGCATCGGCCATGTCCATGCAGCCGAGACAGCACAGGCACCAGTTCCCACAACAGCCGGGCCGTTTGCACCCAACCCACTGTGGTTGACTAAGTTTCCATCACTCTGCCTCCCTGCCAACACTTGGCATTATCCGTTTGTAACATTAGCCACTCTGGCTCTGTGGAGTAGGAAGGAGTCCCCGTAAACTTGAACACAGCTCCTGACACACCATAGGTGCTTATTTAATAGCTATTGAGTGGCTCTATGATCTCATCCGTGCCGGAATCCAGCAGTTTCAGGCACACCACCCTGATTTTGGCTGCGCCCTGGCACAACCCATTCTGTTATTCACTTAATACATTTCTTGCAATTGTTTTACCTTTTTGCTTCAGCTGTTCTGAAAGAAAGCTTTTATGTTACCACTGATATTATTCCCTGTGATTACAAAGTATATGGGGCTTATTTTCATCCTCTTCCTCACTGCAGATCCAAACCAAGGACTCCGCAGATGGAAGCCAGGCTTAAGGACCTGGCTTTCTTCTGAGGGCACTTGGGCTTCCAGATACCAACTCCAGCGTTAAGTAGGCTTTCGTCTGAGCCAGACCCGCATCTCTGTGCTCCC